TTACGTAGTATTTGGACTTCTATATCTAATTGACTGTTAGAAACAGTCAAGCAGAGCTAGAAGCGCTTGGTATCTCCAATGTAAACCTGAGTGAGTTGCATCGTTTTAAAGTTGTACATAGAGGGTAACAATGAGGAGCCTCTAAGAATAAAGTGCAGTTTAGCATTATCTGACATATTATTAAGGTTGACAAGATGACCAAGTAAATCTGCAAGATTGCCAAAAAGTTCCGATCTCTCATTATTGTATAATGGACAATGTAGCATGAAGTGCATGACAGATTCGCAACGACACCCGCATCTACAAGAGGCACTGGTAGAAAGTCCTCGGGTAAACAAACTGTGATTGAGAGCACAGGTGCCGATGCGGAGCCGAACAAGAAGGGCGCAGGTGTAACGGGGGCCACAATTGTGATGTGGGGGACAAAGGGGGCGTACGTATCTAATAAGGTGTTTTCGGAACAAGGAGTATCGTAAAGAACGAACTTCCAGGTCCAGTTCATTCCAATGACTTAAACAATAAGGTATAAAAGATCTACTAAACCTATTAGTAAATTGTAACGAAAGTCGAAAGTCGTTACTATTTCTTAAATTGTACAGAGTGGTTTGAGAAATTTCAGGGGGGATTAAGTCAAAAAGATACCTCCGTGTTAGGCCATTAACTATTTTATGAAATAAAAATAAGCGATGAAAATGCCGTCTGCTAGAAAGAGACTCCCAACCAAGTTCTTGACAAACAGATAAGTAAGAAGAGCCTTTAACCCTACCTAGACCGGGGGGGGGGGCTAAAAGTGCCCGCGGCAACTTTGATGTCATCTAGCGTCTGAACGGCTAGCCGTAAAACGACCAAACTTGGTGACTTTTCCTAAAATATTGTTGGCAACAATTCTCTATCATTGGAATAAGATAATAATTTTTTGTGTTGCCATGGCAACGGGTTTCTGACAGGCATTTTTTGCTAAATTTAGTACTTTTTGTTTCAACAATAGAATTTTATGGGTTTTATGTCAAGTTACTCATGGTTTCTAATATTAATAACATCCCATATAATTTTATGTAAATTTCATCATTAAATATGCATAATTTATGCTAATTTGATGACGTCATTGGCCAAAATCCAAGATGGCGGACCATATCATTAGAACAGGTATATACGGGTTATTTTCATTAAAATTTCATCAATACTTCCATTTCTTTTTACAAAAAGGTTTGAATGAAGGTGTTTAGTATGTTTACAATGTATTTTAGGCTTTATCATGAAAAAACTAATTTTTGAAAATTCAAGATTGATGATCCAAGATGGCGGATATCTTAAATATGCATGACGTCATTTTATGACGTCACCGGTGTTGCTATGGGAAACATAAGACTTAGTACACACTAATATTCTGTCATAAACACTTTTGGTAAAGTTATGTTGTATACCAGGGAGGTTTTCAGGGAAAAACCTATTTAGACGGTTTTGGCCAATAAAATCACATTAATGACGTCATAATGACGTCATATTACGTCATAACGACATAAAAAATTGTAGATATGATAAATTTTCACTAGTACACCATTCTCTGAAAATTTGGCGGTCATACGACATACCGTTCGCGAGTTCTTAGGGGGGGTCAAAAGAGCCCCCCCCCCGGTCCCCCACCTGTCAAAAAAAGCCCGGTCTAGGTAGGGTTAACTGCTCCTGAGACGATAAGAGAACATTCATATTGGATTCTTTCAACAAGAGCGGAGTCTTCAGCAGTACAGCCATGCCAGATCACATCTGCATACTCCAAACAGGGACGGACAAATGATTTATAAATGGTTTCTAAAACATTGCGAGGTAATTTAAACTTTAAACCACGAAGTACAGTGACCTGTTTGGATATTTTGGCTAACATCTGAATAATATGGTTGTGCCAAGACATATTGGTGGTCAATATAACTCCAATATGTTTATGGTGTGGAACACAATTAATTTTAGACGACCCAAGATAAAGAGGAGGGTGGGTGATAGGGGATCTTTTAGTAGAAAATGACATCTCTTCAGTTTTAGATGGATTTAGTTCCATTAGCCATTTTTTAGACCAAGACAGAATTTTACTCAAATCAGAGTTAAGCCTATATGCAGATGCGGTCGGGTTATCAACTACGTCAAGTAGGGAGCTATCATCCGCAAATAAAAAGGGTAAAGAATTTAAGTTATTTACAATATCATTTATATATATGATAAACAGTAATGGTCCTAACACAGAGCCTTGGGGAACACCTGCGCCGATCTTGGACCAGGGAGAAGTCTGACCATCTATGACGACTCTCAACATTTATATTTCATCGTTTTTATCACTTTTATTACTATTGTTACTCATTACGATACAATGAAAAGGCACTCAATTCCCTTTACAGGCACACAATGTCCTTTACAGGCACACAATGTCCTTTACAGGCACACAATGTTCTTTACAGGCACACAATGTTCTTTACAGGCACACAGTGTCCTTTACAGGCACACAATGCCCTTTACAGGCCCACGATGTTCTTTACAGGCACACAGTGTCCTTTACAGGCACACAATGTTCTTTACAGGCACACAGTGTTCTTTACAGGAACACAGTGTCCTCTACAGGCACACAATGTCCTTTACAGCTAGGCACACAATGTTCTTTACAGGCACACAGTGTCCTTTACAGGCATACAATGTCCTTTACAGGCACACAAAGTCCTTTACAGGCACACAATGTCCTTTACAGGTACACAATGTTCTTAACAGGCACACAGTGTCCTTTACAGGAACGCAGTGTCCTTTACAGGCACACAATGTTCTTTTTATGGCAGAATCATAGCACTTTAAACAAAAACAACACTCAATTGAGTTAAATAATCCTCCCCGGAGCCACCTGCCCCTCCCCCTGCCTATCCGAGCGTGTGGATTGTGACTCTGTGGTCATCACATCGGGGAGGAACAGCCGTGACGACAATCGTGACAGCATGACCATGACACTGCTGCAGACCGACCCCGAGGATGTCCCAGTGCCGGCCGGTATTGTGGGACATTGTGATGATGAAGATGAGATAAATGGTAAGGAACATGTTTCTGATTGCAGGCAAAATACATTACTTAATTCTTGTGAATTTCATAGGTTTCATATGAATTTTGGGGCATCCCTACCATGTGTCCTGAGTTTAGCCTGGTGAAACAATCCTTCTCGGCTCCAGCGCCCTCGAGGCGCCCTCCCAGCTGGCACTCAGCGCACGCTGAAGGTTTCCAGTTGGAAAGATTGATTGCCAGAGCTAAGGTCTGTGTGGTGAACAAAATGGTGCCGAAACCACTCTAGGCTGACCTCAGTTTAATTTAACAGCCTTTGTTATTAATAAGGAAAGCCGTTTCCTTTGCATGCGTGGAGTTGGTACGTATTAGGGAAATGTATCTGCCTTAAGTTTGTTCTTTACTCCTCAGACAGGTTTGTCGTTTTTTTTTATAAATGGAAGCTATTTACTCCTTTCCTTACTGGTTGTTTCAATCTTTCGATCACATACACCGTACAACGCAGCTACCGCCAATCCGCCTCCTCGGTTTGAAAAGAAAATTATTCCCTCTGGAAAACCATACGTCGTGCATGCAGGTTCATTGTACAATCTATGTAACTGGAACCTTTACTTACAAAATCAGAAACGCTGCCAGGAGCTACATGTGCCTCCCCTCCCATGTCAGCCTAAGGAAGATCGTGGCCGACTTACTGCCAGCCTGAATACCGCTTCTCTAAATTCATTCATTCTTTATTTCAGGTAAAAAAAAACCCATATAACATGTACAATAAATCATTAAAATAATACAAAAACACTACAGACATACAAGTAAAACAGGAAGAAACCTAAAAGCATAACAAATGGTAGGTCTTCCGAAAGAATGAATTCCTGTAGAAGGCATCGGAATGAATTAAGCGACAGATTGTTGCGTTATTGGAGGAAAATAACCTTTTTAGAAAAGAATAACAAATTCTCCTCCTCCTGGTTTCCAAAGTGTCAATATAGTTACAGACAAACATTTCACTCGCGCTGCAACGCCGAGGCAGATTCATTATGATTCTAAAACAATTATTATAAGCCACTCTACACTTATACAAAACACCAGAGCTTACAGAGCTCCATAACTGGGCGCCATATAGCTGGGCGCAATACGTCATAAACAGGTGTCTCTTAACAGATGGAGAGCAACAGAAAAATTTGCGGTTGATACTGTTTGCACAACTATAAAGACTCTTCAGCATAGCAAGTACACAATCATCGTCACTTAATGTGGTATTTAGGTGTATACCCAAATAGACAAATGAGTTTACATACTTCAGGTTGGTACCGTATAGACTTACAGGTGGCAATGGAAGCTGAAGTGGCAAACGAGTACATGGAAAATACATACAGAAAGTCTTATTAGTATTAAACAATATGTCATTACCATGGCCAACCACTTCACAAATCCCAACCAATCTCTGTAGAGATTTAATGCTAGGGCAAATCAGACATAAGTCGTCGGCATAAAACAGGTGGTTGGTGATGGACCCACCTACATAACAGCCCACCTTGGCATTGTTTAAGCTTACACTCAAATCATCTATGTATACATTAAAAAGATATGGGGACAGTAAACTACCCTGTCGTACTCCGTTAGTAACGGAGAAGCTCGGTGAAAGGACTGCACCCCATCTCACAAACATTCTTTGATTCGTATACCAGGAAACCAAGAATCGAACTAGATATAGCGGAACATTTCTGTCGATCAACTTTCTAAACAGTGTCCAGTGGTTTACGCGATCAAAGGCCTTAGAGGCATCCATAAAGCACACAAAGACAGGGGACCCTAAGCCCCTGTAGTACTCGATAATTGCTTTAACATAAAAACACACATGTCAGTCCCATGTTTAGGTTTAAAGCCAAATTGAGAATCAGACGTCAGAAGAAAAGGCCTCAGACGATTAAGCAGGAGTGCCTCTAGGACTTTCGATAACGCCGAAGTGATCGCAATTGGTCTATAATTGTCAGTACAAGAGATGTTACCAGATTTTTTTTTACGATGGGAACAATAATAGTGTCTAAAAAGGCTACTGGGAATAAAATTATGGACAATGGTAGCTGTAAACAGCAACGACAAATGGACATACAAGCTCGGATCAGCATATTTCAGGTGCTCATTCCTTATACCATCTGACCCACACGCCTTACCATTGGGTAAATCCCTAATGGTATTGGCGAGCTCCAGTGCGGAGATTTGCATACCGTGATCAAAGCATACAGGTGACAGAGCGGAAATCACTTCCGGCTTATGAGTTTGATTATCTACAGAATTTAACAGAGACTCAAAATGTTCTTTCCAACGGTTAGCAATATTCTCCGCACCAGAAGTACCGTCTACAGTGTTGGGTAGAACCGTATGAGAGGAATTAGAATTTCTCACATTTCTCCAGAACTCCCTATAGTTTCTAGAATTAAAACTGTTAACAGTGGAGTCTGCTCGAGCCCTATCCTCATTACGTTTACACTGTCTAAGTGCATGCTTGAATCTTGCTCTAGATTTCGACATGAGTAGGAATATAGGACCAAACCGAGGACGACCCATTTCCCGCCAGAGAATATACGCCTCACGGGCTGCAGAGTGCAGATCTTTAACAACATCATTCCACCTCGGAACAGGTGTGAAATTTTTACAGCTGTGTTTACAGGGTATTGAAGTATTCGCAGAATTATTCAAGGCAGAAATAATCTGGCGGGAATACAGGTTGATAGCATCCTTATGTGTGGGATCCATACAGTTTGGATCTCTACAAATAAGAGCATCTACAGGCACATCAATACATGACAAACTACCATCAAGTATGAGAGCATATGCATCTAGCTCGGCTTGGTTAGCATTTGCCCAGTCGACACCTTTCTGATTATTGGTATCATTAGGTACATATGTGAGGGTAGGGAAGTCAACATTCAATGTAATACACAACGGAAAGTGATCAGATATGATATTATTATGTAGAACCTCTATATTAGTGATATTCTTATGGGCAGTATCGCTGGCTAAACAATGATCGAGCCAAGAAGTAGTCCCATGTACATCACTAAGATAAGTATAAGTGTCATGAGGTAGAAATTCCAAGTCAGAGATGTGTAGCCCTGATTCCTTACAAAATTCATGAACTAAGGTACCAAATCTGTTTGTGGAAGACGCATTAAAGTCTCCTAGTATTACAGAGGTATACATATTACAGTCATTAATAACAGCATCAATCTTACCAAGCTTTTCAAGAAACACATCAGTATTTGCAGGGGAATCATAGGGCATATAGACACACACAATCAATAACTGGCTCTCACCTGAGTCCACCTTGATCGCTATAATGCTATCATCATCAATCTCAACAGGAGATATTAAAGGGGATAGTGATTTTCTCCACAAAATACCAACTCCGCCAAAAGGATGACCTTGTAACATACCTGCTTCTAAATCAACAGGTGATTTGCCACAAGCCATAAAATCATTACTAATACTGCTCAAATAAGACAAGTCATTTGGTAGGAGCCAATGCTCCTGCAACAAGATAATGTCAGACACATTGCACAAGTCCAAAACTGTCCGTACTGAGTTCTTGACGGATCTACAATTGAATGACGTAACAGTCAGTTTACTCTGGCCGGTGTTGCAAGCCATAGTCTAGAGTCCAGAGTTACGAGGGTCCGGAAGGACAAATGCCGTGGAAGCGTCTCACCAGCACACCGCTAGGCCAACAGGACGGAGCCAACACGTCAGGCAGAGCGTCACTTTCCACCGCAACCCGGAAAGACGAGTAGGAGTTGTATCTAGTCTGGAGACTCACACAGGAGACCACACACTTCCGGGATAAAGTGTTGTTCAGATACTGTTCAATGTCCTTGGGTTGGGTCAAGGGCTCCAGACGAGTTACAAAGATCTCGGAAGGCCTCACCTTCACAGCTGACAGAGCCGACGACCTAGCCGTTCCGACCACCGCCCTGGGTCTCGACTTTCTCTTCTGAACCAATCGAAAGCCGTCGGATCCCGGCTCCTCGGGGCCTCCCGACGCAGAGCCCCGACGTGATGTGCGCGATGAAATCCCGCTGGACTCCCTTTGTACCGGCTTGTGGCTGACGTCGGCACGCAGAGATTTCGGAACGGTAGCAGAACCTTTATCGTGAGTGTCAAGCGCACAGGGTTCAGCATCTGAGGGAACCCTCGTTACTTGAGGTACACTTTTCAACGGGTCCGACGCGGCCTCGGCATATGTAGCCTTCTTGGGGGGTGGCACTGCGCCCTGGTTCCTCAACTCAACGATTTCACGTCTGAGGGACGCAAGCTCGGCATGTAGCTTAACAGCGTCGACAGAAATATCTCGGATGGACTTCATCTCTTGCCGCATAACTTGCAGTTCTCGTAAGCAGACAGTGATGTCTGCATGTTCAAAGTCCACGGCTGGGAGATGCAATGTAGCAGACACAAAAGTAGGCACCGACGATGGGTCCATAGAGTGCAGGACGCGGAGTATATCCGCCATGTTCGTAGCAGACTTGTTAGGACCCTGTCGCTTCTTGTAGCGTTCAGTCGGTTTGCACACATCAAGCAGAAGCCTCTTTGCAGACTCAATTTCCTCTTCTAGATATGTTTCAGTACACAGCTTCGTGATCACGTCAGCAGGTAAACAGTCCATCTTGTTAACAGTGAAACACAATAAGTCATTTATGACAACATCTTTTGGCAAGTTTGACTCACTGCACCTTGGAGATCGCTTGTCAGCACAGCTCTGGCAGAGAATTAAATCTCCTTGGCGGGTCTCAGCCCCGGAGCCACCACAATCCTCACAGGCAGGCATACTTGGAAGAGGGAGGGGGGCAGCTCGTCAGACAATAGGCACCCTGTCGACGCTGACGCAGCAGTTATTTTTCACACAATCCAGGCCAACTGAGTGACACAGCATGAACTGTGACTGTCCGGACAGCAACCCAACGTACTTCGACACAGTTTAGAGTCAGTAGGCCTTACGTAGTGATCAGAATCCGATGAAAACACCGGACAATAGCAGCGAGCAAAACGGACCAAACCACCTGTTGGCGGCCATCTTGGAAAAAAAAAACAACTAGACGTAAATATACCAGTCTCCATGCAAGAGGACTAAGAGACTCTTGATCGTCATTCTACACTGATCATTATTTACTTATTACATATACAATACTGGGCAACGTCCTGACTTTGGTACCCCGTCCAGGGTGCACGACTAAAGACCTTGATATGTTTTCTGTAGGACGTATTTTTATCAAGATAATATACATTATTAGTAATAGTGAATTATGTTCCTTATATTGCATATATTTTATCAATACTCCAGATGACATTAGGATTAGAAATCATTTAACTCTGCACCAAAGCGTAGTACGCTAGGGACGATAAGGATAAGTTACCAAGTAAAACACACATTACATATCATAGAAATCTTGTTATGCTAGTCTATATAGTAGAATCATTTTTGACTCGTAAAAATCATATTGTAGATTTTATTTCATACTCCTATATTTGCTAGATTGACACACGTGTAGTTTTTATAAACTTTGTCCTCTCGTTGTGTGGTAGTAGTAAACCTGACGGACGAACGACAGTAGGAAATATCATGACGAGTGGAAAGATAGTAATTATATAACTAGACGTAAAACACCCTTTTAATGAAATATACTTTATAACACGGAACTTTTAGGTAGCGTAAAGCATTGCATGTCATGGATGCCAAACAATTTATTTTGCACTTATATTGCGAAAAAGGTAGACGTTTCTCCATACCATGCACTGTGCATTTTGACTTGCGTACATTTTGTTGGTTTCAATGTGAATGAATGCTTGTCTTAATATGGAGTCAAAAGCTAAATATGAGTATACCTTTTTTGTTTTTTCTTAATTCAGCTTCAAATTCAAACCACTACAAATCAACATGTTATTGCATTGCCCTTTGCCTATACTCATATGCATCATCTCAAGACTATATGACATGATGGTCAGAACCATATTGTACGACCATTGAGGCGGCGCCTGTTAGTAAAAGCTCGCTACCGTATAGTTGTATCAGTCTGCCAATGCGATTATTATCAAAACTCTCAACATGTAACGCGGAAAGTTGAACATAAATGCCAGGTATTGCAACATACACTTACATACAACTTTATAAATTTAAATAAACCAGATTTTACAGTCCTATCACTTTCATACAGTTGTCTCAAGTATGATCATACTATGTTTGTATTCTTATTGATGTAAGCACCAGTTGAATTTATGCATTGTGCATATATTAGTGCGTTACGTCATGCAGTGGTTAACCGAGTATGAGAAACAAATATAAGTTGTTTGTTGTATTTAAAATTAAAATTTCCCATAATCTCAAGCGATCAGATTTTGCATAATTGCTAAGTGCACGCACTTCCTTAAGATTTACCTTTAAATTGTCTTTCCAGGTTACATGTACGTTTGCAAGAACTGTACAACTATGCTGATTTTTGGCAACCACATTTGCAATTTTTGGCCGCTTAGGATCCCCAGGCGAGATGTCCTGTTCGGCTATTTAATGCTCATAATTTTGCTGAAAATTCTCTACTAGGCGAAGGTCTATACGCGGCTCGAAGTGTCTTAAGAAATGACGATTGCTGTCGTTTCGCTTAAGGAATGAATCAACTCCACTATATAATCCATCCCAAGTTCTATATTTTGTAATGGCAGAACAAAGTTTTAGGCCTGTGAGGATCTCTGTAGTTAACAAACCCAAAGTTAGAAGGTTTAACGCTGTAAACATATAGCAGGGTACACAAGCAATTAAAAAAATCAATATATTTGGGTTTAGGGTAAATGCTACAAAATTTTCCGCTTGTTTTTTTTTTACTTTGTAGGGGTCATGTGAACTTTATCCAACGCACAACACTAGGTCGTACCAGGATCCATGCACGAATCAACTCGACCAACATACAACCTAATTCAATGATTATACGGTTTCAAACCCTCTACAATTCAGCACAGCTTTCACCTCCCAATCCTGCACAAAACAATCTCGGCAGCTTTCTCAACTAATTTGCCGCACTACTTCGTGCCCGGACCACAAGGTTCATCCAAAACACTGTGCCATGCGTCCTTATGATCACGATTATTGTATGACTGAATATCTCATAGCCGAGCGACGTTGACCAATGGAAAGCCTCCATTTCCAATCGGCTACCAGGCCATCTTAAGTGGTGAATAATGGAAAATTCATTTCAAAATACAACTCATTCAAAACGACATGAAAAAGATTTAAACAGAAAAAATACTAAACATAAGTTTTGGCACCGCACTAAAAGTGAAGCTGTTTCGAGTAATTGTCACGTGGTCACTGCAAAAGATATATTTTTCTCTTCGCGCTTTCATGTAACTTTTGTAGTTTTTAGCTGAGCTACCTCGGCAATGGAGGGGTTTTGGGGTCATGGAGTGTATTCGGCCAAGTCTCCGTGACCAAAATGATGATCCGAGTTATTTTTTCTGTGAACTAAATAATTCAATTACACATGTGAACTAATAATTCAAGAGAAAATCAAGCCTCATTTAAAGATTTTTATCAACTAGTACATTGCGTATATTGTGCCGATAACAGACTAATATGGAATACTAACATTTACAGTATTATACAAGGTAATAACAAGACTGGAGAAAAGACTAAACATCCAGTTCAAAGAAATAGATTTCATGTTACAATGAACATAAAAGAACCCAACACAGTTATGGAGAATTAGAAGAGCAAGGGTAACTCGGCGTGCTTGGCTACATACGTAAACTGTAGCGAAGCCACCTTGAACTACTAACTATCCTATCCCTATCCAAGGTACTTGAGAAAATAGTCTACAAACACCTGTATAATCACCTAATGCGCAACGATCTTTTATTCCGTTTTCAATCAGGTTTTATCAAAGGAGACTCCACAGTCTGTCAATTAGCTCATTTTACCCATACTATACTTAAAGCTTTAGAAAATGGACATGATGCACGAGCAGTATACCTCGACTTTTCACATGCCTTCGATAGGGTGTGGCACTCAGGACTTATTTTTAAACTACAAAGGAATGGGATCGAAGGGCCACTTATAAACTGGATACATAGTTACCTCAGTAATCGTTCACAGCGAGTAGTTATTGATGGCCAGTCTTCTGTTTGGTGTAAGACAAACGCAGGTGTGCCACAGGGCTTAATCCTGGGCCCCCTGTTTTTTCTAGTTTATATCAATGACATTGTAAAAGATTTAGTCTCCCTACCCTACCTCTTCGCCGATGATTCCTCTCTTTTACATATTGTTGATAACCCAATTGATTCCGCTGCTTGTCTAAATTCTGATCTGTCTAAAATTCTGTCTTGGGCCACTCAGTGGCTCATGGAACTAAATCCCAACAAATCAGAAGAAATGACATTTTCAGTTAAAAGAGAACCCCCAGCACAGCCACTACTGTTTCTTAACAATTGTGTTATCAAGCCTGTCCATGAACACAAACATATTGGTATTATTTTAAGTTACAAAATGTCCTGGGATTCCCATATTAATCACATTGTCTCCAAGTTATCCAAATGCATTGACCTTTTCAGTGGCCTCAAATTTAAACTTCCTCGTTACGTCTTGGAAACCCTATACAAATCATATATACGTCCTTGTTTAGAGTATGGCGACGTAATTTGGCACGGCACGACAAGTACAAATGCACAGCTTATAGAACGTATACAATATCACTGCGCCCTTGTCGTGTCGGGAGCTGTCAAAGGGTCGTCCTACTCGTTAACTCGGCAGGAGCTAGGGTGGGAATCATTATCTGACAGACGGCACGTCCACCGCCTTTGTTTGTTTTATAAGATTGTGAACGGTCAAAGTCGAAATTACCTGTCGGAAATATTACCTCCAGCCATATCTTCATCATGTCATTACAACCTTCGTAATAACATGGACCTAAGAACCCCTTAGTCATTCTACAAACCGGTTTGCAAATTCTTTCATTCAATATTCTACATTCTACTGGAACAACCTTGACTTGTCAACACGATCCTTAAATTACTCTAAATTTCGTTCAATTCTTCTCAAATCAATAAGGCCTGTTAAATTTAAGTACTTTAGTCACGGTCCTCGTTATTCTGGTGCTCTTATGGCACGATTTCGCATTGGCACCTGCAGCCTGAACTACAGTCTCTTTACTCGTGGATTATTGAACAGCCCAGCTTGTACCTGCGGATGCCAATGTTAAACCGTCCCACATTACCTACTCCACTGCCCCATGTACAACTCCCAACGATCTACTCTCCTTGGCAAACTATCCAGGCTCGTAGGACACACCTTAGATTTTACAACTCTTTCTGACAACGCAAAAACTGACCTTTTACTCCGTGGTAGTCCCATATTCTCATCAGTTGTTAACTCCAATATATTATCACTTACCCAAAATTTCATCACCACATCAGAACGTTTTTAAAAGATTTCAATTTCCCCCTTTGTTATTTATGTACTGTGTCCTCTTTGCCATCATTATCATTGGGTGGGGAACCGGACCTGCGCTCTTGAATTTCTTGTATTTACTGTTTTTTGCCTGTCTTAAAGTTGCGATTGTTTCTTTTCTTTATTATATGCATTTATTTAGTGGTGCCGTCAACATAAGTGCTTTCCACTTGAGT